ATTGATTAACCATTGCAATAGTATTCAGTCCATGTGTTTAAATTCAACAGTTCGTAGTTTTATGCGTAAATATATCGTGATTTCTGTTCATGGGAATCATACTAATCGAGTGTTTACTTCGAGTGTTTCAATTGGTTATAGCCTCCTGTTATAACTCTGCGAAATCTATCCTAAATCCGGTCATTAATAAGCACTATTTAATATTTCTTGATGCTTATCATTTCTGACATAGAGTGTACGTACAATTGATGAAATGTATTTTAGATTAGTTTAAAACTAAATAAGTTGATGGCATAAACAAATGACTATTGAGCGAGACTATAATTCATGGAAGAACCAATCATGTTTACGACAAAAGGTTTTAGATTTTGGCGCAAAATTCGTTCCCACATTTGGCTAAATAGAGTCTTGGCATTATAGCTGATGACAGTTCGTGATGAAAACCCTGAATCTAATTCTTAACCCTAACTATCAACTGTAAATCATAATCCTTTATATTTAAACTGCTATATAACCCTCATTTAGCCCTAGTAAGTAGGTAGACACTCTCAAGGTCACTTTAGCGTCGCTCAAATGTCGTTCATAAATTATAGTCTCACGGACTACTGAATAATGATTTCTCAAAATATCACTCAAGTTATAATGTTTAATGTTTTAAAGATACTTTCTTTACAGTTTGAACAGATGCTCAACGGATACCAGTAATATATTTTTACAGGTTACTTAAATTTGCAAACGTAGCATAAACCACATTTAAGTAGCTTGTGTCAATAACATTTGATATAACAGTAAATAATGTTGATGTTTGTATGAAGAAAAATCATAGAATGTATTGAATAACTCGGTCATTATATTTTAGACATGTTGTTATAATATATTCCTCAAATATACTTATCTATCTACAACTTCATATACTACTACATTCAATAAAACACTAAATTATCTAAAATACTTATTTTTATTTTGGAAAATTATTATAAGCGAATGAATTGATACGTCGATAAACAGTACAGTAGAGTGAACAATAAAAATCGACAATGAATACAACTACACTTCCTAGTATCTTATGACTTATTGCGTTCGCGGGAATATTAGAAGATAATACCATGTATATAACTTTAGAGAATTATTATTTAGTAGATGTATAACCCCTTTCAAAATCATATCTAACCAATACAAAGTACAAAACGAGATGAAACACAATGTAATAAATAATGATGTTTGGTATAAAATGATAAAAACAAACTATCCAATAAGATTATTCATATGATGCAGCAATATATAACAGAAGATGAGATGAATAAACTTTTATCTCACTAATTTTTATTTATTGATTTAAACACAAGAACATTGGTACAATGAGACACCAAACACATATGCGCCACACAAATCACTCGATTTCTGTGAGGGCTACAATACTGTCCGGGTGCTCAAACCGAGACAGGTGGTTTTCTTAGGAGGTCACTATCCGAGCCATTGACCTGGAGGTTTAATCCACTAGGCAGTGGAGCAACATTAGGAGATGCAGTTCCATGGTAGTCAGTGACCAACAATAGGTTCATACTCCATTTGTTCCTTAAAGATCCTGGAGCCCATGTGCACCATTAGTTTAGAATCAGGGTTTTTTCACTCCCCTAAGTTGATTCTCCATATCCACCAAACCGGTTAAAGCGCCAGACATTCGTTTTCCGTCCTCCCAATTTCGTAAACAATAGTAATACCACGAGAAGGTAGTGAGTAGGAATTCCCTGGCAGTGGTTGTATACACGTGGTCATATGAGAGCATTTGGAAGGGGAGAGCTGATTCTCCCCACTCTTTCCGTACCAGAGCATTTAGGGGCATCTCACTAATTGAAAAACTCAAGGTGTTGAAATTGAATTAAGCCATTTTTCTTTTCATAAATGAACTTGAATTAATTAGATTTTCTTCTCGAAACATTGAAAATCTACCTGAAATCTTTTGATTATTTCAACTTTACAGAACTATATTTCAGTTAACGGAATAAAAATCAGTTAGATTCAGTTACCTAATATTCCATAAAGGTACTTACTAAATTGAGAGCATTTGATAGACAACTTATGAAGTGTTCAATTAATTTGAAGATGATTATAAATATAACTAGGAATATATCATGCCACGATTGGAATTTTAAGGTTAATAATTGGTTCAATGTTAAGTGGGCTTTGATCGAAAATTGAAATCAGGTGAGGAAAAATTAAAAAGAACAAATAGTTTGGCTGTTATTTTGCTTAAGTACATGAATTTTAACCGGCAACGCAATTAGTATGTTTAAATCCATTCTTCCACTTGTTTATTGTGGATTTACTAAGTGGACACCAATCAGAATCGCTTAGATAATTTCATATATCTTCTCTATAACTTCTTTATTGATATAGGAAAATGAAATATTGTTCAGTTAAATGGAGTTCAATACCATTAAACTTCTGGGTTCCTCATGCTCTTATTTCTTTATCATAAAGTGAACATTTTCAATTTGTGCTAGTGGAAAACTTTGATTAAATTTAAACAACTTAACTAAGAAACTATTTGCAAATCAGAATAATCATCAACACTATACGTCAACCATGCATATTGATCAACTTTTCAAACATTGGTTCATCCTACGTCAAATATTTACAGAGATTGGTACTAAACTACAATGAAACATTTGTCTCTTGTCCCATAGTTTTTAGCGGTTGTCTAGCCAACATCAGTTTGTAATGACAGTCGCCTTGAAAGCACATTACTTTATGATATATGGTGCAAGAAGGTTTTTCATCACGAACCAATATCAGGTGTGGAATCATTGAAAATCATGGAGACCTCAATAGTTATTTCGAATTAGCAGGAAAGTATATCTGAAATCTACTAATCACGATTTCTTATTAGAGCCTCACCAACATTGATTAATTTTAGTCATTATTGATGAAGCCATAGTTTATTTGAGTGGAGTAGTTCCAAGATGTAACAAAACGAATGTCTAACATCATCTTGTTTTCAGTGGCATAATTTGACTTCCGAATACATCACATAGTAAACTACTCTTTATAATAGATATAAATCTCAATGTTGCTTTAATGAATGGTTTTGGGTCACATATACAATTTCTGACTTTAAGAATATATGATCACAATACCAAACTTACTTCAGAAAATATTAAAAGATTTTATTTCCAGCCAATTTCGAGAAATCATTACTACAAAACGTGTCTAAGGTGAAGGGTGCATAATTTGACCTTATGACATAATCCTCATTGATCAAGTTAATACTATTCTCTCATGCTTAAAAAAAGGTAATAATATTAACTTATGTCATAGTTTCTTTCTAAGTCTTATTGTCTTAACCTAATATTCAGAATATTTCACTGAAGAAACTAAGTAATCTTTCATATTTTTGTAAATTCGATGTATTATTTTCCTAGCATTTCGATTTTTGAATGGTTAGGGGACTTAATCGTCAGTCAATGTGGTGATTTATTGAGTTCCACTTCAACAACTCGAGTTAATTTAGTCACATTATAACACTTCAGTCATTACGTAATCTTTTCTAGTCAAAGTTAAATATACAAGCTTATATACACGCCAGATAATTTACATTAATTAGGTTTCAAACAAATTTTTTTTGATTGAGATCATGAACCGATTGGTGTTAGATCACCATTGAAAACCTGAAAGCACTGGACGGATGTTTCGTTCTATTGTGGGACTCCTCAGCAGTGCGCATCTATGATCCCACTCGCAGGAGTTCGAACCTATGGTCCTCAGTCTCCACAAACCTTATATTGATAATTACCATGCGCTCATTAGTGACTAGCTCCATGATGGTGTTCTCAGAGTTTTACTTAAGAGCCGTGACCAGTGGAGCTTATCCATGTAGAGTAGAGACAGGTATCTACCTTAGTACAATGTAAGATGATCGCGCAATTTCGTAGATTTGTTGAAGTTAGACATTAACACCATCGGATGCCGGCCAGCCCAGTGATCCATTATGTTAAGCATTCGCGTGCGAGTCTGAAGACCTTGAGTTCGGATCCCGCGGACGGGATCATGGATGTGCACTGCTGAGGAGTCCCACAATAGGGCGAAACAGTCATCCAGTGCTTTCAGGTTTTCACTGGTGATTTAACATCAATCGGTTCAAGATCTCAATCAATAACTTAATAATCTACACAATCTTTATACTGATAAGCTGTTTTTTTATTCTATTGTCTGCATTCAGCTTTTACGAATTATATTACAACTTCCACATAATTTTCATTACGAACTGTCAATAATTAATTAAAAAACTAAAAAACTAGACACACATTATTGAATAGGTAATCTGTATATAACTGCAGTTGATAACTTGACGTGATGAGGATCAATTTTAAGAGTATTATTATTAGCCATTAGAATTGGGGAAAAATTTACTATACTTATCACATAAATGTTAGTTTTTGTAACTCACCTATCGCTATGGTAGTTAAAATCATGAGTCCCAAAAACAAAGTTTATGGAGTTTACATTTTGTTCACACACAAAAAAAAGAAATCAGCATTCAGTAGCCGAATTATCAATTAACGAATAAATGTATAGTAACCCTTGTTATTTTTTTGGAAAAGTTTCATTGTCATTCATCTAACTTTAAACTGTGTAGAATAGTGTAAATGTAAATATATATAGAGAGAAAGTAAATGATATAACCTTCTTAACCGACCACATTCCATCAAATAATACACATAGACGTGTTTTAACGGACGGAAAACAAAACAAAAAGAAGGAAACCATCATTTTAAAATCATTCAGACAGAAAAACTGTAAACAAAAAATACAAACATAAATCTAGGTCACTTCAATAAGTAACTTATCACAGTAACAATTATTATTTCAGGTTTCTGTCCTCTTCCTTATCATCATGTAACTATAAATATGTCTGTTAAATATGATTCATTGATGTATTGAATAAATTCGAATAACTACATAATTGTTAATGTCGTTTACTTCTGTACTCTTTAACATAGGATATTTCTAAAAACTTAACTAATAATACACTAAATCCTTTACAACAACAATGGGGAAATCTTACAACTAATATTAATAAAGCTTGTAATCAAAGTGAACAATTTACAACGGATGATCTTGAATATCAATACATACGTTGGTTAAAAAGTATTGAAGATTCAGTAAACACTGTAAGTTCTAATTTATTATTATTTTTATTTCTAATTTAATGAATGTCTTATTATTCATAGTGATTTTGTTACTGACAGTGATGGTAACACTTCGAATACATTAAAATGTTTGTCTAATGAAATTATGCAATATAATGTAAGCTCACTTCAAGTCAAATATTGTTTTAATATCATTAACAAAGTCCAGGATGCGCGTTTCGCCCTATTTGGGACTCGTCAGCTGAATGTACTTACATCTCAGAGTTGATGTTCACTCTGGGACTCGAACCTAGTATCATTCGTTTCAAATGCCATTGCGTTATCCACTCAGCTACTGAGTCCTGATAGCCACTTGCTTGTGCAACGGGATGAATTTGAATTCACTTGCTATTGTTTGGCAGGTACGTCCAGCTGACGAGTCCCAAATAGGGCGAAACGCGCGTCATGGATTCCACTGCTAGCTACTATCCATCACTGCTTACAAATAGCTTTTGAATTAAGGTAATATCGAGGCATACGCACAGTATGCACGTATGTCAATAACAGACTGATCAATTGCAGTCTTAAACCTCAATGGGAAGATACAAGCCAAACAATACCAAGTGAATTCATTAACAAAGTATTGTGTGTTTTTCACAAAACTGAAACTCAATGTGAGCTATTTCGGGTAAATCTAGATTCAATATTCAAAATATTAAAATCAAATTTCATATATTAGTAGTATAAAAATGAAAATATGTTGTGTAGTAAATAAATAGAATCACGTGATAATTGGGGGTAAGCTGTTACCATTGCAATTCAACAGTATTACAAAAGATGAGGCAGTTACCCACTAACAGCAATGAATTATGGTCACGTAAAATCTTGGACTGACTGGATTTAAAAATGTGAATCGCCAGATTCTAACTCAGTGATTGACGTTTAAACGCTTACCACGTGATAGGAAGATCTTGGATTCGATCCTAAGTGGAGTTGTGGATGCATTTTGCTGATAAGTTCAGACTAGAACAAATAACCTAACTACTATATCTTGGTTTTCATCATAGACTTGATGATAAAAAAGGAAGAGTTTTTAAGTGTTTTAGCCGAATTTATGATAAACGGTTTCATTTTTAATAATAAATATATTTTCGTTATATCTCGATAAGTAAGAAAATTGTATTTCTGACGTTTCGTCAGTTAATGTAAGCCACTTCTCCATAGTAAATAAATAACCGAAATTACAGAGCATTTCACTAACATCTGAGCACCATATAGTAAATAGTCAATTTACAAAATATCGATCCATCGTCGCAAATTTGACTGTTCCTTTGTAAATATCAGTCCATTGTCTCGGATTTCATTCTTCATGCATTTTCATACCAATTGCGTTCTGTTTCCGTTCCTTCCTTATCGATCTTCTACTGAAATACATTCTATGCCTGACCACCGTTATATACTACTAATATGGATATAAGTAACCCACACCACAATATTTCAAACTTTGCAACAATTTTTATAGTACAAGTGATGATACCGATCATCTGTCTTACGAACAATATTGTATTTGACTAAAATGTTGCATAACATTTTGATTATTCTTGAATATTGTTCATTTGCTTTGATGTTTCATATTGTAAACAACTATTCAGAGAGGATAATAAAATGAATTATAACTGAAGAAAAATTTAGGTTTAATGCTTGTAATTCTTATACTTACAGTGTTGATATTTCGGACAATGTCTACCTGATTAAACAATGTTGCAAAACTATGCGTCTAAATCTTAAGGTTGATAATCACATTAGTAATTACCACATAAAAATACAAACTTTCAGCATATTACCCTTAAATTCCGATAGCCAACGAATTGATCGTTAAACGGATATTTTATATTTATGCTAACGAGATATAGTCAAATTCTCATGTAAATATCATGTACAAGAAATTGAATCCCCTTACAATTGTTAGTGTTATTTATAAAGGTAAGACTTATTAATTCTAAATAAACTGAACACTAGATAGATTGTTAATAACAAGAAAGTATATTTTGGAAGTCCTAATGAGTAGAAAGTAGATTTCTGATGCTTTATGTAAGATAATTCTACGGAGAATAAAAATTTATTAAATTAACAGAAGTTCTAGTTGTATCAAAGAAAAAAGGAGATTATTTTCAGTACGATCAACATCAAACTATTTCTGATCATGTCAATATTTTAGTCAGGGTTACTTTGATTATGTGATATAAAGCTGAATATATTTGTGTTTGTGTCAGTGAATTGAGAAAAATGAGATATATATTGTGAAAATGTAAGATTGAGAATATATTTGAATGTTTTTTAGTGGTGTGAGATGTGAAGAGAATCCATTGGGTGGATAATTGAATAAATGATCCATACTGGAAGGGTCGTAAGGCCTTGTTTTCTGTTAAGTACGTAGGATTCAGAAATATATAAAAAGATTTCGTCACTTGTCATTCTTTGTAGTTTGAAAATCCTTTTCGAGTTATTTTAATGTTAATTATATCGATTTGATAGTTGTTAAAAATGTCATGTACTGTTGTTGTTGATTTGAATTGAAAATATTTGAGTTTTACAGGATTGTTTGGGGGTCATAAAGTGTAGCCTTACAACTGTTATTTTTGACAGAACAAGTTTTATAACATGAAAAACGGAATGCATTTTAGTATAATCTTACATAAAGTATATTTCACATTGTGAGTCTATATGTGTTTGGTATTGAGTTCTGTGAACTTCACTAACAGCTGATGATATTACCTGGAAAAACACTGAAAGTTCCGATAATATGACATACATCTTTTACAACACAACATCACCAAAAGTATCCTCTTGAGCTGTAAAGCAACTACAACCATGGTTGGAATCAAACCCTGTGACTAACTCATTTTATTTTCTCTAAATTTCGAAATAATACATACCGATGAATCCCATTGTTAAAAAGTTATCTGCATTTATATTGATGACATCATTTATTATTTTTTTGATACTTTAGTTAAAGCCTACTGAATTAGATGAAAATCCTGCTAATATATTTACTCAAAATAATTACATGTACATAGAATCATCAACAAATGATGAAAATGACATTTCTAAACATCAGACCAAATCACAATGTTCAACAGAACTTAGTTTTAATCCTATCTCCTTACCTAATGTAAACAATACATCATCATTAAAAACATCTACACAAGTAGATAATAATAATAACAGTTCATCGGTAAGTTACTTTATTCCATCAAGCTTTTAATTTCTTTTACGTTTAATTTTACACTACTAATAAATGATTTATAAGTAACTTACGATCCTATATACTTAATATGAATCACAATATCCTTTAGAATGGTAAATAAAATTAAGAACTTGCTATGCTGAAGTACGATTTAACTCTTATAACTCACTGATCATTTACCTTACTGTAAGGAAATACCAATAATTTACCACTCATTTAATAAAAGTTCAATTAAATATTCAGCTGTGAAATTAAATGTCTGAAAGCTACAAAACTAGTTTTGGTTTTTTCTATTTTTCACTAATCAATGAAGCCCTATATACCATTCTAAATGAACTTATGCTCATCCATGAATTTAAAGTCATATCATCTACTACTATTGTCACATAATCCATAATTAGATGCTATAGATTGGAGATCCTAAGTGTATTTATCCATTTGAAGTGTCGTAGCCTTTTGTAATAACCCACTGTAATCTTTATATTTTAAACTAAATTATTATCATCTAAACAACTTTAAGGTGTAAAGTCTCTTACATTGTCTTAATATAACTGAAATTATTAGACACCATGCTTTTCATTGATGTTTTATTGCATTTTAGTCTTTGCATAAAATCAATCAGCTAAAATGTAAATCTGTTATATAATAATCTAGTTGAATAATGGATGGGATAAACGAAATATCGGGAAAGTAAGACAGAGAGAACAAAAGTGAACTAAATTACAGGATATTTCCTTCTTTATTCTTCATTGACCATTTCGTGATTCCATCAAAGTTTTGATTTTAATTTACTACACTTAATGCCTAATTTTGACTAACTTAGTGCATGTTCTTTTAAAATCATATTCAATGGTTGGATTGTTTATTCAGTCTGAAAAAGAGTATTCCAATTTCACTGATTTGTCATTTGGTTTTTCTTTAGACAAATTTTGTTAATCAATATTGTACATATATGCATTTCAATTTAACTTTATGTTATAAATATGTATGATTGCCAACTTATACTAGACAAGAGTTGATCAATAACTACGACTGTTGTCTATATATATATGGTCACAATTACACTTGATTGGCACTTGCAATAATGAAAAATGGCTTAGATCCACTCTTGTAGGGAAATTTCATTTTCTATAAAGTGACTATTTAGTAGGTGTATTTAATTGTGGTGTCAGTTACGATGTTAAGCCCATATTACTTATTCTAGATTCTGAACAGACAAATCTATTCATTCCTCTTGAGTCAGGTTTTGACCTTATTAATTAGTCACTTATCAATCCTGACTGCTTTTATATGAGCATTTGTGTGTGCACTTCTTATTCTAATCAATCACCTATCTGTAATCTATTTTTATCTGGCTATAAATATGGATTAACGCTTGATTAAATCGAGTTGGTTCACATACCTTCTCCACTGTGTGTCATTTTGCTTCGCTTTCTTCTCTTCGTCCCTCTGATTGTCTGTTCAAATCAATGTGTGCAAAATATACGCATTCAAAAATTGGCTTATTTAATTCCATTATTCACTAACGCGGATTAATTCGATAATTATATACGAGGATTGGCGACATGTATATTTCAACAGCAATCACCATACGATCTAAATGGAGTCCGATTTAGGGCTACTAAACAATGCAATCCGGTTGTAAATAAGGGTAATTTTTAGGCATCCTTATTTAGGTGTTAAGATGCTAACAGAGATCAGTCAGATTCCGTCTTAAACATCAAGGAACATGAAATGTAAACAATTACAGTGAATACAAAATTAGCCACGTTACATTGAATTTTGACTCAATAGTACTCGATATCATGTTTTTCTCTAGGACTTAGTGCTGATAGAATTAAATTGATCATCCTGGAATATAATCACTATTAAATAACTCGGTGGTAAAGTCACAGACTGTGACATTTGGTAAGATAATTCAAATTCTTCATGAAGTTTCAGTTCTCGAATTTCAGGTACGTCCTGTTGATCAGTAACAAATAATACGATATTTGAATTTAAAATTTCTTCACATAAGTTCCCTTCAACCATCTAATAACACACTGTATTAACTTTCAACTTACAAAACAAGCATACATTTGCCTATTCTCCTATTGTCTCAATTAGTCCACGTTACATTCTATGTAGCATTATCGTACATTTTAGGTTTAAACTTATACGACTTTAATCTGAGTATAATAATTGTTCACCGCACTGAAATGAAGTAGATTTCAGCTAAAATAAAACCGAAATCTATTGAAAACTCCAATAAGTCTCTTCCATAAAGAAATTAGAACCTTCCAATATCCGATATTAGATTAATATGCAGAAATGAGTGTGAAAAGAAACCCAGGAGATTAGAAGAAAAATGGCAGCATCGTCATTAGCAAAAAATGATCCTATATTGGTGAGTTACTAAAATCACGAACAACGAAGGCATTTTGTTCATATGTGTTTTTACAATTACCCGTTTGAGGAGACTGAATAACTGGCTATTTGTATTAATCTTATAGTTCTTTTATTTTAAATCCAGAAATCTATCTGAATGGTGCAAATATTAATGTTTAACACTATCTTTATGCTCTATATTTATTTTAACAAAGGAGAGTAAACGAAATTTATTATTGGAACATTTAATGATTCAGAGACAGAGACTGGCTACCGCGGACGCTTCAGTTGCATTGCTTGCGAAGAGATTAATGCTGGTAAATTTCCCTAGTTTCTAAATTCTCACTGGTATTATTTACAAATACTGTTTTAGAGGTAAAATAGGTCTTTTAATTAAATAGCCTGATTAAGTCACTTCTTGTATGTGTTGTCCTCTATGAAAAGTCAAGATGAGCAGTTTGATAGTCGGTGTGTAATAGCGATTATATTTAAAATCGATCGTTAACCAATTTTTGTTTGGCTAAACGAATTAAGTTGCAACATAACTTTCTTAATTAGTTACATGAACCTGATAACCAGCGCTTGGTTGAAAAGTATGCTACAAGCATATTTGAAATTGCTGAAGTAAAAGTATCTAAATTGTAGTTCAAACAAAATCCTTTGCAATTCAGTTACTAGACATCATACTCGGAGAGCGTAACTTATTATTGCTTAAAGAAAGTATGCTACTAACAACGAAATTCAGTAGTTTAATACAAATCTCTTATCAGGATCGAGTTGTGGTGATTGTTGAATTATAAGTGAGATCATGAAATGATCAATGTTAGAAAACGATTGAAAACATGGAAGCACTGAACGGCCACTTCGTCCCATTGCAGGACTACTCCGCAGTGCGCACCCACAGACCCGCACGTGAGATTCCCACCCAGGACCTTCAGTCGCACACGTAAGCGTCTAATCCCTAGGTCGCTGAGCCGATATCCAACCGTGCTGTTGTCTAACTTCAACCAATCCACGATATTGAGCGATCATCTTCCATTGTCTTCGGTGGTCAACTGCCTCACACCCGATACGATTGAACACCACTGGTCTTGGTTTATCGCTGAAACTCCGAGTATCTCCTCTCGAAGCTAGTCACTAGTGAGCACATGGTAATTATCTCTTAATTATGTTTGAATTATCTTTGTAATTCATTTAGCTCAATACAAGTCCTAAAGTTCAACAGAACAACACAGAAGAGAAAGCAATATATAAGCGAAAAGTTTCCTACCCTGGTAATCCTTTAGAGCAGAATATATCAACATTTGACCAACTGATAGACAATCAACAAGCTCTAACCTACTCAATGACTCCAAATGTTCTTCGGAACTCTAAAATGATCGGTGGCACTGTCAATTCAACAATTCATAGTGAATATTCCACTGATAGTATATTTCAGTCTCAATTACCCAATAGTTCCGTAGATGATATCCTAACCCATGGACATTCACCAAAACCCAAATTTACAGGTAAGACACATATTACAAAAATGTTTTTGAACAGAATGTTATATTTAATGATTATACTGTACTTGATATTAGAACATACAAAAAGGGAACCTAACACTAAGACTCGAAGTCCAGCATTGCAACATACCTTTTCTTAAGTCTAATCATATAGAGGTTAATCAAGTATATTAGGAATGAAGCACACTTCTTTCGATTTGGAATCCAACAACTGGATGTACCTGTAACCCAATGTTCATAAGTTTAAATGACGACTATTAAAAAGAATGACAAGTGTGTCCAGAATCCCACCGTTAGCCGCAACCTAAATGTACTAAGGCATATGACAAGCGTCATAGCGAGACAATCAATTCAAGATGTATATATGGCAACAGAGACTGATCATTTGCAGTTCTGGATAAAAATATAACATTATCAGTACGTTTATGTTTTGTAAAAACATATATAATCAGGGAATAATTGTACTTCAAGAACGGTTTACACACAATAGAAATAATCATTGTTAAGTGAAGAACTCTAAATAAGGTTGTGGATTTTTGACACAAATGATAATCTTATTTGATGCAGATATTTGGTAATGCATTCAAGCATTATTGAAAAATTAGAAAGGTTTCCAACAATCTTTTTAATAATACTTTGAAACGATTCATTTTTTTAATTGTAATGAATGAATGAACGTTAGTAAAACATATATTATAATGTAGAAAAAAATTAAGGATAATCCATAAGATATAAAAAGTAATGCCATGAATAAACCAATGTTAGACCACCATTGAAAACCTGGAAGCACTGGACGGCCGTTTCATCCTATCGTGGGACTTCTCAGCAATGCGCATCCACGGTCCCGCCGGCGAACGTTTAACCTACTAGACCATTGAACTGGCCAGCATCCAACGGTGTGTTCACTAGTGACTAGCTTCGAGAGGGAATTGTCGGAGTTCTAGTGAGAAACCGTGACCAGTGGAGGATATCCGTGTCGAGTAGAGACAGGTATCTACCTCAGTACAATGGAAGATGATCGCTCAATTCTGTGGATTGGTTGAGGTAAAACATTAACACCGTTAGATGCCAGCCAGCTCAGTAGTCTAGTAAGTTAAGCGTTCGCGCGCGAGACTGAAGACCCTGAGTTTGAATCCCGCGAGCGGGATCGTGGTTGCTCACTGCTGAATCCCACAATAGGGCGAGACGGTCATCCAGTGCTTTCAGGTTTTCACTGGTGGTCTAGCATCAATCGGTTCAAGATCTTAATCGGTAAATTAATTGCTTAATTTATAACACTATGAATGTGGTAACCAGAGAGAAGGGTTGAACTAGGATAATACAGACTTTCAGTGTTTTTTATTATTTTGAATAGTGTCAGAACGGATTTCATTAGAGGTGAAAGGAGAGTGATAAAAAACCAATGACCATCGAAGTGTTTAGTTATGGACACGGATAACTCATACAGGGTAAAATGCAAAACCTCCAAGCCTGTCTAAGTACGATAGAACTGTGACTGATTTGAGATCCAATAATTTGTATTTCCAGTTTCAATCAATGAGAATTCTCTACAGTGTCAAATATGATATCAGCGTCAATCTCGATATGATTGGACTTACTTAGCCACAACTTTCCACCGGAACTTACAAAACGTTTTTTTTAGAAACTAGTGACTTTTGAACACATAACTACGATATCAAGGTAGAGAGATTTGTAGACTATTGGTCAGTTTCATCACAGATGATAAACCTAATTTCATTGATGTTCAAAGTATCGTTTAAAAAAGATGTATTAATTCAGTTACCTTTAAACAATTTATTTGAATAAAATATTCTCTTTCACTCTTAATACATTACACTGATCTACATGATTTGTTTAATTGATTTTTATTCTTTGAAGGTTGGCAAAAATCTAGTACAATCGAACGAATAAATAGTTCCAGTGCTCAATATCTTTTAGATTCTCCACGACTTAACAATAGCAATAATAATACTACTACCAATAAATCAACTAACATTACACAAAAATTTAAGGAAATATCAACGAATAATATGAATAATAATATTAGCAAAAATGAATTGAATAATTTACATCAAGATGGTGATTTATCAGTTCCTAATGTTGAACGAAGGAGATTGCCAACACCTATTCGCGGCGATTTATCGGTATGGAATGTGAAAAAGTATTTACATAAAAATCCTCGTAAGTGATATATATATATATATATATATATATATATATATGAGCACAAAAAAATTTGTGATACAATAACGATGTACGGAAACCATATGGTAGCAATCCAATTTCAATATTACCATTTAAACGACTAAATACAAATCATCCATTAACATTTAATCTGATCTGATATGATTACGTAACAAAGCGTGATTACATTAAATGTCTAGACTTGAGTGGTTCTTTAAATTGCCTTGAAATTTTTGTACATTAAGAATTCATCACTAAAAATGAAACAAAAAGTAAAATACATGACCTACTAATTTCCCAACGTTTATAATTAGTTTCCCAATAAAAAAACCCAGTCATTTTCGGTATAGAAACTCAACTGTACGTGTACAGATGTACCTTTCTATAAATCATCTGTATTGTTGTAGTGAACAAAAACACCAGTCAGAGCAATCGGATATATTGGACACGAAAATACAGAGCATCTCAATAAAATCTGAGAACCATATAGTAAATAGTCAATTTACAAAATATCGATCCATCGTCGCAAATTTGACTGTTCCTTTGTAAATATCAGTCCATTGTCTCAGATTTCATTCTTCATGCATTTTCATACCAATTGCGTTCTGTTTCCGTTCTTTCCTTATCGATCTTCTACTGAAATACATTCTATGCCTGACCACCGTTACATACTACTTATATAGATATAAGTAACCCACACCTCACCAATAAATAATTTCATAAACAGTTCCACTTTATACTCACTTTCCCTGTGATAAATGCATCTGTGCATACACTTATACATCTCACTTTAAATCAAACATTCTGAAGTCCAAATTAGCTACGAAAAACCAGACTCTAAAATACATTGTACACAATTACATCACTGAGCACAGGGATACGTTGAATAATGAAACTGCTATCAAAAAATCAGTGGAATAGAAACACGTACAAAGTTCTACATGCTCTTTGAATTTTTCAATGTTTTTATTTAACTTTTTAACCTTAAATTCAAATTATTTTAAGTGTAGATAGCTCCCACTGTTTGACTCACAGGACTATGACTTTATTCGTTGTTCATTTGTGCACTCTTCATTGACTCAATAAGTCATTGGTTTAGTGAAATTGTATTCATATACAGTGATTTTGTGGTCATATTTATTTACTTGGATAATTCAGTGAAGAGACGAAGGTTATCAAAACTATGTGATATATTTACGCAATACATTTTGAACTATCTGACCACACATGTACTTGTTAAGAAATTATATATAGAAAAACAAAAGGTCAATTAGACAAGTGGAAGGTAAGAGGAAACATAGACAATAATCAAAAACAGAAAACCAAACAGGATAATAAGTATCACCAGGATAGGTTAAGGGTAAGAAAAGGTTGGTTTTAAACATATAAAGGAAGTTTCAGTCTTCGTATACATAAGGCTTCAATAATCTTTGGCACAAACTCTTCATCATTTCTACTCAGCACTACGAAGACTATCTTGATATCAACCCTATAATCCGTCTCAGCTAAAGGTTCCGCAATGGAGGAAGATATTTATTTGTCTTGTGATCTTATTCAACGATTGAGCTTCATTTGTTCTGGTGTCCACTTAAGTATGAGTTCAACTATCCTTAGATGCAGATCACCAATGCTCCTACCTATGTTCATGTTTCAACATATACATGTAAAGTGATAGACGCAAATGCGATGAGATACAATCGTTTACGTGATGTTTAGGTCTTTTGTTAAAACATAGATATTGAATTTTTGATAATAATGAGTTGGGATGTGTAAAATGTCTTACTGATAGTTCATTTAAGTCTTCGTTTTAACAAAAATATTTGAGTCACATTTGTATATATAGGTACACTATTTGGATTTCAAACGCGTAGAAGGTCTCATTATATTACTGTCTTTGCGTCGGTTGATAAACTTCAATGAATAACCATTATTCACCAATGTTTCATTTAAGTTTTATGTCTCTTAGTGCAGATACGATTGATCTTATTGAATAACGCCTTTATTAACCTGGATTGAACAGTGACTATAAAAATTAAGATATTGCCCTATGTTTACTATCTATATGTGGGTATATGCATTGTCTGTGGAGAAACCTATAGATTTACTTTCTCTGACCCCATTGGTTTGATAGCAAGGCATAGTATTATTATTACTTCCTGTACACTTCAGTTAGAGAAACCCAACTCAATGGACTAAATGGAACACATTCTCCGGAAGACGTATAGATTTATTGAATGGAGCTCTGGTAGATTAAAGGGTATAGAATCCTGAAGAGTCACATACTTAAAAAAAATAGATGTGAAGTTTATTCTGGTTGTCTAACCGAATTCACACAGTGATGGAAACTGTACTCACATATCCAAATAACTTATCAATACATTTTTAGAAATGCTAAAATGTCCCAGGGTGAACATTAACTCTGAGATGCAGGCACATCCAGCTGACGAGTCCCGAATAGGACGAAACGTGCGTCCTGAATTTCACTGCTAGCCACTATCTATCTTTGCATGTAATGCTAAAATATTGTATCAGAGTTTTCAGACAAATTAATGTTCCATAAACATCTTGATCTGGTCAGCTTATTGAACAGACGAAAATAAGTTAAACATAGATAAATAATGTAAAGCAAATTTAGTGCACAATAAGACCTTCTATTCAAGTCGACAGACAAAAATAACCTTTTAAGAATTAAAATATTAAAGATCTGAAAAGGGCAAGTTGTCTAACAAGCTGACAAGTTAATGAGAAGAGAACATATCAGACAGCGCAATATACCCATTAAGAACATTCTACTTGATATGAATTTTTCAGTAAATTAATGACACAGTTGCTTTCGAGCATAGATTATCTAAGTAACAAGTCGGTTAGTCATAATTAAATTAGAACTTGGCACATATATACATTGTCCCGAGTTGTCATGCCATTTCAACACAGCAAGATGAAATCAACGAGATGTAAATCAAGTCAAAATAATACTGGGACCTTTAATAAAATTAGACTGAAATTTCGGTATTTTCAACTTTAGCGAATGTCGAATGCCAAGTATTCACAACGTTCATTATGTTTACCAAATATGTAATAAAACACAAAGAATCAAAGGCTTGATACGTAAAGTATTTAATAGTATAAAAAGTATTTATTTTCCTGGAAAACCATTAATTTTAAAATACTACATTTTTGAATAAAATAACATTTTAGAGTTTACAAAACTTGCTTCAGAAAATGGTTATATCGAATTAGCTAACGCCAGTTCTTCTCCAACCAATGATGAAGATTATACAAATCGATTGTTGTATGGAATATCAAAAACTCAGCTACCTAGCCGACGATATTTTAATACTAATTCATCGAATAATTCTATGACAGGATTTTTAACTCCTATTAACTGTTCATTTTTATCGACAACAACACAACAATCATCACCCACGACAATAACAACACAACCATTATTATATAATGAGAAACATTTGACCGAAAAGCCACTATTGAATCACAGACCAGCACCACCAACACAACAAAACCAACTAAAACCAGTACCTCCTCTTCCACCAAAACCAAATCAAATCAATATGCAAACATCTATTGAAGCAACACAAGAACATCTCAGCGCTGAAGATGAAGAAGTCTACAAATTTATGTCACGTTCGCTTGATGCTAATGAAGAAATGAATTTAGATTTTCAAGTGAGTCTCCATCTAATATGAACTAATCAGTTTGTATTCTGTAAAATATTTTGAAAAAGAGGGAACTAGACATGGTTACTATTATTAAATGTTTTAGTTTAACTACATATTTCTCAAAAATTCACATCATTATTAATGATGAATCTTGATAAAAAATGAGATTTGTATCACTTAGCTTAAAAATTACCTTTTGTTCAAACATTGTAATTTAAAAATAAGAGATTTCGGAATCATAATTTTCTTGCAAAATTTCGATTTTAGATCATATTAGCAAGATATTATAGTCAAAGGAGTCAGACTAATAATAACACTGAAATAAAAGACTGTTGATATCTCAAGATTGAGTAGGTAGATGGACAAGGAGTTTGTTAATTTCAAAGTTACTCACGTATCAGTGTTCACTAGGAGAATACGTCGATCATGCTTCTAGTGGATTAAAGCATAAATATGATCAGACAAGTTAATCTTCATCCAACAACTAGTCTTATGCTTTTTCAGAAAATCAATAGGTATAGATTAATTGAACAAAGATAAATAAAGATAAATATAACATATTTTCCGTTCAATTGAAATAACTCATGAATAACCTCATTACAGCAGGTGAATACCCATCGAAACAGCTTACTCTTATACCTTTTAACTATGTAGAAAATTAATGTTCAGTTTTCTATAGTATTAAACCTCAAGTACATTGTTAGATTTTTATTTAATCCGGATGATATTTTTAATCCCTTGCTAATGGTTTAGTGTTTTAAAGTTTTCTAATACTTACAACTATGAATGAGATCCTAACTTCGTTCTACCTACCATGCATCATGTAACCGGATACTATTAATATCTGTTATACTAAAATTATGTCTCATTGTTAGATATACCAACCTAAACTTGGGTAGAGAGTCACAAAGGATAATCAGTAAAACATTCCCACTGAAGCAGTTAATCCATTACATCTAAAGGTTCAGATGATAATTATTTTTCGTTAATGACAAAGCTAATTCAAAATTTAGCACATTTTCGAACAAACAATACGTGAAACATGTGATTAGTTTAGAGATATTTTCACTATTCATTGATATTATCTGGAAGTCTACCACAGTTTAGATATATTTCACTCTGATATATTAATTCTTAGTTGTGCAAGGTTGAAATTAAAGTCTATAGGTCTTGTAAGAAGAATATCATATGTTGATCGGTTTCTAGGGACGTGTAATTGTCTTCTCATTTGAGAACTTATGATGCTATCGTCTTTAAATGGACAGACATTTTCTCTCCATTTATGATACCACTGCATCATGAAAACAAGCTCTAAATTAAGTAATCTTTATGTACAAACCATTTTAGTGATAGTAACCAGCAGACTTTTATTTGGAATTATATTTCCTTAAAATCTAAAGAAGACCCATGATCTGTAGAGTCTAGCAAATTGGGATTGGTCACCAATACTAAACAACCAAACTTTATCATGAATTAGCCTGTACCGAACAATGTACATTGTTAGATTGATTTCATTCCCGGTAGGAAGGTTGGTGTGCTAGAGACTTCATACACGATATGCATTGATGAGAGGAGTTTAAAACTAGGACGGAACAAATGTTTAACACTTTCTTTTTTCTAATATACATAGATTTTCATTGAATATCAGCTTGTTATTGTGAATTATCTCTCCTCCTCTTGACAGTCTTTTCAATTTACTTCAATTTTGACCAGTCATTAGCTATGAATTAAAACAGATACCTAATTAGAAATATATATATTATTTTATGCACCTAAACAGCCTTTAAATCGAAATCTGACCGATTCCAAACAAAGACCTTTACCACCGCCATATTATGTGAATATAAATGACACAAATAATGAAAAATTATTAAATCAAAGAAAATTATTTCCACATAAAATATCAAGAACAATGAATAATAAAACTAGTCAATTATTAAAACAAACTATAACATTGAATCATGAATCGCATATACTAACTGGATCATTAACATCTTTAAATGATACAACTAAAGAAGTAGAAGAAGAAAGAGAAGAGGAAAGTAACAATCGATTATTGAATCCATCAACAAAAAGTAGAAAATCATTAAATTCAATTGAGAAAATGAAAAATCAACTAGAAGTAAATCAAGTAAGAAGTCTGTTTGTTTATTATAGAAAGGCGCATATATAATAATGGTGTTTTTCAGGGGATACCAATTATAAACTAATTTGAAACCTTCTATACATTATATTATTATTATTAATTCAGTGAACTAACTTTAAGAATTCAATCCAGTGAGTTCTAATTGACCTCAAGGAATTGATATATGTTTGAAGTTGACAACCTGTATGTGTTTCAGCGCTTAGGTGTACATCAATACTACGTGGTTGAATTTAATCTCGTTAATTGGAATAATCAAAATGTGTAGTAGATTACTTCTAATGTGCATAAATTCTTATTTTGTGTTTAACAAATAGGTTTACTAATAAATAAGCAAAGTACTTAAAGATTCAATGATAATGAGTTTTTTGAAAACAGCTTAATTCATGAAGGTAGAGAATGGGAATGCGTATTAACTAATTACGAAAAACTCAATTTTTATTGACACAATGTGAATGTCAGTCAAATGATATGCTAATGAAACAGGTGATAACATGCTACATATAGTTAATATGTGAAAAAATAACTGATGCTTTCATACCTTCTATAAATGTACGATCTATTAGAGACGCATGAGACTACAAAACACTCAGTTTGTCAGAAATCGAAATGAATTAAATACCGTGGTACGAAGTGTCGGGAAGCTGATACTGAATTGAGAAACAGATAAACGCCCGTTTATCTATGTTATCCATATATATTTATTTCCATTTTTAAACTTGATAATTGATATGTGACAAGAGTTTCCCGTGTTTAAGAAATCCTTTGTGACCTATGGCTCCATATTTCGCACATTTGTGATAGTTAGATGGACAGAAACAAGAGAAACTCCATGCTCCATAGTCCCAAAAACTAATGAGAGGCTTTACAGAATGATGCATATTACAATTTTGAACATAAGACATGTAATTTGAGCAATGAAATCTTTGCAAAACATGATTTGAAACATTAAGATCAATGATACGATCCGAGAACAAAATATAGCGAGAACCAAATGAAACATGATCTGTTGTGACAGTAGACATACTACTAGCATTTGAACATTCTATAATACTATTTGAGCAAGAAATTTCCAGTGAGTCAAATGAACCATCATTTATAGAGCTAAAAAAATATGACCTGAGAGATCAAGAGTTGGACATTTTTTTAGATTAATAATACATCTATATTCGTTATTAAAATCTATCAGTGTTACATTGAGATCTTGTTTTATTGTGCTTACGATTCTAGTACGCATTGCATAATGACCAAGGTAGAGTATGAAACAAAATCATCGCCTAGCTTATTAGCAGTCTTAAAACAGCTATAACGCAAAATAACATTTGAATAGTAAAACTGTTGGTTATTTTTCGGAAAATAACATAGAAGACAAATAAAATACAAACTTTAATAGCTCCATATCCTCTATATTAGGAGCATAATTTAACCAAGACTGTAATACATTTAACTAGCTGAATATGCTGAGAGTATTTTCCATATAGATCCAGATAAAACAGAACGAACTTTGAAATAGAATGGTTGAATTAATACTCCTAGAACAAATTCAATAAAAATCATTGGTATAAGATAGCAATTGTTACAACGAGAGTAACTGGACTTAAACAATATGCAAGTTCACTTGATAAAATGTCCGAGGAAAGTCAAATTCAAATTTTTTTATAATATCTACTCGATATTTCTTCTGGGTGTACAGTAAATTGTTTCATTTTTCTTAACCAATGCACATGCATAAAATTGACCACTCGATTAAATAGAAAGCTTTACAGAAGTTATGGAGACAAGCATAGTGACAGTGTAAACGTCTGTTAAAATTGCAAACAATAAACCTTTCAACGTGAGTAATATTAAATTGTTGACATTATGGTATATCGTATACCCAGTAATATACCCTAAATATTTTAAATATCTTGTTGGCTTTTGAAATACATCAACTGAATCTGAAATTACTTACAAGAAAGGAATATGTACATCTTTGAGATCCATTCTGGATCAGTCTACCTATTTTCTTTAACATTTCACATTTACAATATTTCATTGTCATTTGTTTAATTATTTTTCCTTTGGTATTTCATCACGCTCATTTGACTATGCTTCGCAATTGGTTTCATGTTAATACAATCAGCCACCCTTAATGATTTAAATATTTGAAATAAAATTTAACTCAGACATAGAGATTATTGAGAATTTGATCAAAAAAACCTAACTTATCCGCTAAAATATATTAAGTTTGCTGGTGAGACTATAATTTATGGGCGACATTTGAGCAACGCTAGACTGACCTTAAGTGTTCACCAAATGAAGGTTATAAACCTGTGTAAAGAATTAGAATTATGATTTACAGTTGATGGTTAAGATTAGGAATTAAGCTTATGGTTTTTATCACTAACCGACATTAGCTACAATACCAAGACGCTATTTAGCCAAATGGATGAGTGAATTTGGCGTCAAAACTACGAGACCTATTATCTTAAACCTGATTGGTTAGTCCATAAAGTATAGTCTCTCCAGTTTGCTTTTCAAATGAATCTTCTCAGTGAACTGGTCAAACTACGATGCGAAGAATTCAGAAAGATTATATTCCTACAAAATAATTTTTCAATTCTATTCTTACTATCAAAATAATAAGAACTATCGGTAATTAGCTAATGGTCATCAAGTGATATTTTGTCTCACCTTAAAAATAAACACCAGCGTTATTTCGTAAACGTTTAAAACGGATTACATATAAATGCAAACACTGAAGACATTCAAAACAGAACTGAAAAGTGTTTCTTTTTTATTTTAAAAACTAGGCGCACAAAATTAAACGATATATCAAAAAGTCAGACTACTCATTTAATTTAAGAGAGTACTTACAAAATCTTCATCATCCAATTAATGAGTTAGCCATAGAAACATCTGATGCAACTGTATTGCCTGAACAACACGGAGGAATATGCCTTACAAGTTTACTTGGTAATTGGCTTACATCAAGAACTACTCGAGCACAAAAAACACCAACAGTTGATGAATCATTGGATTATTTCCAGTGTAAGATTATTCTAACCAGTAGAATATGTGGTGGTTATCTATGGATTATGAAAAAGCCAAATCGTCAACGAAATAATAACAATAATAATATATGGGATTCAATAATGCGTCGAGTACATGATACATCATCTAATCAACTAACTAATACAGATAATGAAAAGCATAATAAACGAATCATAATACGTAGTTCAAACAATGCAAGATGGTGTCGTAAATGGTTGTCATGTGATATGTTAGAACAAAAGATATTCATATGTGAAAGAAAAGGATGTGGACGAATTGAATGTAAGATTTTAATGTACTATCATTATTTAATTTAGAAATAATTTGGTTTGAAATTGATCTTACTTGTTAGTAGTAGAGTTTTAGTTTTGAAATAACTTCAGTGTAATTGATTCAAATATGTGTTATCAAGAAAAAACAACACCAAACAAATGAGCTTTCAATTTGTTAATGTAAATATTTTACATGAAAAAGTAGAGATAAATCAAAGCTTTTATATATGGTGTGATCATTTAAGGTAATATGTTAAAATCATATGCTAACTAAGATCACTCAAAAGATAAGCACAAAATAGAAAGATATATGATAGAAAGCGTTTGAAGTAGAAATCAACATTTTAAATCATTTACCAATGAAATGAGAATTTTGTTTACTCCCAAATTTGATATGTATAGCTATGTAATGAGAACGACTTAATTGAACAATTTACGCTGTTAGAGGGCCAATCAGCACAGACCATTTGATCACTTTCCACTGAAACTTTAGATTGCTTAGAAATGTAAATAAATAGTGGTATTTATCCTATATACAAAATTTTCACAGTCATATTCTAAGCTTCACATTCTGATATTTCATGGCTCAATTAGATTGAAGTTCTGGAGGTTTCGACCATATTTGTTGTTGGTTCACGTATTATCAGGACAAATCTATTTTGGTCATCACATTTAAGATTTGCTTAGCCAGATAAACTAACGATAATATCGGTGTTATTAGTTGACAATATCAGTCACAATAACAATACTGTGATGACATTAAATTTATTTTTAATAAGAGAGATAGATTCACATGTGGTAGATTTACTTATAAATCTTTTACTTCAGATTCAAGATTGCTCAACTTTCACCAAAGTGATTGTTTTTATACGTTTACATTTCATCACAGTTTGCTAATAACATAGTGCATTACTTTCAAACTGATATAAAACGATAAACCCGAAGTTCGAAATCATCCTCTCATCTGGTCGGTATCACTACTTGTTAAATAACAAAATTGATTATTTCAATTAGTTATTTGTATTTCCAAGATTTTATTCGATTATTTATACTATACTATTTCATTTATTATGATATGGAAATTTTGCAAGATTTAAGATAGTTGTCACCACGAATAAATATGACCCAAACAGAGACAATAGAGCACTGGACTAATGCATCACCTTGTTTTAGACTACTGCGTGTGCACTTCTAAAGAATCTGAAACAAGAATGAAAACAACTGTCCAGTGATCCATAGATTTCTACTGGTTCTTAGTGTCAATTACTCTGACACTGTTTCTTAATGTTTTAAAACATTATTTTATGTATTTAACAATTTTTTTTCACATATTTCCTCATCGATTTAGGTACGATAAACTTTACAACAATTAAAGATATACATCAAAGTAGTACAGATCAATTATTAGATTGTCAAAAGTCTTATTCCTTATCGCCTAGAATATCTCAGAAAACTTCTTCAACATTAGTAAATACAAATACTAGTAATAATAATACTACTACCAATAATAATAATCGTCAGGTTAAAAGTTCTATTCAACAAGATAAACATACTACTATTTTGGATACTGATGAAGAACAAAAACAAAATTCATTGATAATAAAAAAATCAACTATAAATAATACTATGACAAAAAAAACAAACTGTACAGAGAAAACAGAAACATTATTTTGTTTAGAGACAACACTACATACATATTTTTTAATGGCTCCATCCTCTGAATTGACCAGATTATGGATTGATGTTTTAAAACAAGGTAAGTTCATGTGTTAACTATAACAGTTAAACTTTCAATCAGTAAATTTACTTACTTACTTACGCCTGTTACTCCTAATGGAGCATAGGCCGCCGACCAGCATTCTCCAACCCACTCTGTCCTGGGCCTTCTTTTCTAGTTCCATCCAATTCTTGTTCATTTTTCCCATGTCTATTTCTATTTCCCGGCGTAATGTGTTCTTTGGTCTTCCTCTTTTCCTTCGGCCTTGAGGATTACATGTAAGGGCTTGTCTTGTGATGCAGTTGGGTGCTTTCCTCAATATGTGTCCTATCCACTTCCAGCGCTTCTTCTTAATGTCTTCCTTCGCTGGGATCTGGTTTGTTCTTTCCCACAGTACGTTGTTGCTAATAATGTCCGGCCAACGGATCCGAAGTATTTTGCGTAGACCAGTAATTTTAATAAATCATATATTTTCTTTCTACAATAAAATAGTCATTATATCATGACTTAAATTAAAACTAAGATTTACTTAATAAGTTCACCTTCATAACATAGTTTCTAAGTTATATTATATAAAAGACTTATGAAACTTAAAATATAATAATCATTAGAAAGAAATATGATGAAGTAATTATATGGACAAGGTGGTATATTTTATGCAAACCCACAAATAAAATAATCTATATAGAAATCTGCCGATAATATCTCCAAAATATTTGATTTCTATGTGTGTGTGTGTGTGTGTGGAAAATATCTAACAAACTTGTAATCTCAGAAGGGATTTTGTGGATATTGTAGTAATTTTTAATAGTTGAGATCATGAAACAATTGATATTAATCAACATATGCTTACTAGTGAAGGTCTCCAAGAGGGATCGCATGGAGGTCTAGCGAGAAGCAGTAACCAGTAGAGTTCAACCGGGTCTGTTGTGAGATATTAACTCACTGAAGACAATGGTGGATGTGTCGTTCAACTTCGTGGATTAGTTGAAGTTAGACATTACCACCATTGAATGCCGGTTCAATGGTCTAATGGTTAAGCGCTCGCGCGCGAGATCGATAGGTTCTGGGTCAGAATGTCGCGAGGGGGGACCGTGGATGTGCACTGTTGAGGGGTCCCACAATAGGATGAACCGGCCGTCCAGTGCTTCGAGGTTTTCCATGGTAGTCTAGCTTCAACGGGCTCATGATCTCAACTATTAAAAAACTTGTAATTGATGAATTAACTTTAAATAAGCTTTCGTTTTTTAGAAGTAAGATTGAACTTGTTAACTGGAAAATATCAGTACTCAATGTAATAAAGCTATAAACCAATGATAAGATTGTAGGGGATATTGTTATATTTTTAGCTTGTATGATTATCGCAAAATACGATTGCCAATATAGATACGCTGACTTATACGACCAAGCTAATGACACATACACAGTACAAGCAACCTAGAGTTCCGATTGATCCTTTATCCACCTAGTCTTGCCTGTTAATTCTAAAGCGCCAGTCTCAGCCTCCGCGATACGAGTCATATATTTCAAATATACTTGGTTTATATACAAGCCGAATCATACCACATCGTACCAGATATAGAAAATAACAAGCCAAAAGTGGTTATGATAATGAGAAACTGTTACTAATAAATTGGAATAGAAGAATAGTAGATCGTATGATAATAATCAATAGGTCAAATAAAAGTCTATGATGAAAGGAATATATAATATTGTCACTTCATAGTTATGCAATAAGAATATATGCATAATATTAGTTTATAAGTAATTACTAGAGGATACCATTCATTTATTCTCGTCCGGATATAACAGATATATTGATGTTAAGAGAATTAACAGTAGGACTTTTCTTGCCTGACCTGTTTTACTTGAGTGAAAATAGATTTGGATCTAACACCCATTATCCAGGTTTTCAACGGTGGTCTAAGATTGATCAATTTATGATTTCAACGACATTATTTTGTAGTTAGCCGTATGAATCACTCATTTATAGTCTTAAAATTAAAGCAATAAATTACTGAATAATCCACTTGGTCTATCTAACATTCGGATCCCACTTTGATTTGAGTAGTCAACTACCATCATTTGAAGTGTAGCACAAAATCAAGTGAAGGAACTTGTATTCTAATTAGCGAGTGATATCAACTTACTTGAATGTTCACTTTGAGAAATACATTAAAAGCCGAAATGTCAGTCATTAGCATGTGCTTTTTTTATAGTACACATCAAATCAGCTCCATAGAGAATTTGAAGATACATTCATCAAAGACTAGGATGAGTTGAAGAACCATTGTAAGCCGAAATCCTCATTTAAATTTGGAATTTATTACTACTATGAACCCACAATGAGGTGAGCATATGTTCATATATACAAATATAGTTTATGGCCAAAATAGAGAGATGAACATCTAATGCCTTAGAAACTTCAACTTTACAATATATTTTTAAAAAAAACTGATATTGAAACAATAAATATATGGATAGAAATAAAAGCAAAAAACATTTCTAAAGATTATCCTAATTTTTAAATTTTTTTGTTTTTTTAAAACAAATGGAACAATCTTATTAAGAATATTCGATAATCATCAATCGTTTAAATGATCAATTTTGAAGTTTCTAAACACTACGGGACAAAATAGTTGCTGTATCAGATCGATTAACAATCAATGAAATCTGATTTTTTTTCAGATCTATAATCAGAGTAAAGAATAAAACAAATCTAAAAGTACCAAATCTTTAGTCAAACATTTCCTACTGATCACACTAATTGAAATAAATGGATAATACTGCACATAATATTGTAAATAAGTTATTCATTAGTGAATTAGCTTTACTATGCTATCTAGCTAGATCATATGTGCCGAGTGGATATTGAGCCAAGTAAACTGGTTAAGGAGTAAGTTATAAATGATATTAAATGTCACGACCTAACCTATAAGTATTTTTAGCTATGAGGCTTGGAATTATTGTTATACATTAATTAGGAGTCTATCACCTCGAAGATGTAAATAAGAATTAAAACCTTCGTTCCAAAGAAATACTACAATTAATATCTTTTCTAACTGGAATATTATTACTGACTAATATCCAAGGTCATAATGCCCATTATCCTATTTGTCACTGGTAATCCACTTATTACGATGCTTTTTGCTGTCAATAAAATAAATTCAAAACCATATCACTCAGCATCTTCAAATACTGGTTGCAGACACAGTGCAAGCCATAACTGGGTCGTCCGCAGCTACTTAAATGACTCACTCAAATTATCGATAATCTCATGGATTATTACAAAATCGAGGTCTACCCGACCCTAGCATCCTTCCAACCTTATCTATTCACAAAGATTTCTAATTCTGTGCTGAGACTACGCCAAATACCAACCCACCATGGCTTGTGAGATTTCCAAGACTGATTTATTTAGACACATAAACATTCATACAAGGAGGCACCAAATATATATGCACCACACTTCGTCATCCGATTTGTGTGAGAGCTGAAATACTGTCCGCGAGCCCAAACTTCCAAAATAGGTGAATCGGTCGATTTGCTCAGCTACTTCACTTCCTATGATCAATTCAGATCATTCTTGAAGCAAAACTCTGCATTCGGAGGGGGAGAGTTGCCCATCAATTATGTTTAGAATATTGCTCAAGGTAATCAGACCACTTTGAATTTTGTCAGTCTTCAACAAGCAGGACAATCTGTGTATTTTAAGTTAACACGTAAATCTTTCGGTAGGACATCAATCTCCGAAAAGTCAAAGGCCAAAATCATTACCATTAAAAGAACGTCATTGAAAAAGTTTAACAAAATTGGGGAAGTTGGTGACCCCGAAGGACAGCACTTTGTTACCCGTCCTGATGACGTATCTGCCATACGCTCTAGATTGCCCGGCAGTAGGGAACCTTCATAAGGTTTATGAACTTTTTTGATACCCCTTTTGATGGGAGATGCTTCCAAAAAAACAAAAGTCAAAAAATATAAATACAGTCAGGATTAGGTAGAAATGCGTGTCCTTCAGTATCAGAAGAACAGTGAATAATCGACTAGCACATCTACATCTGAAACTAGACTATCCGTCCCTAGTTTGCTAGTTACGAGCAATAGTTGAGTGTTGAATGATTATTGAGGCTAATAGTCTAGACACTATTATTCAAATTGATGCCTATGTGGTTATATGAAGCTCTCTACACTTTCTCATAAACTAGAACGATTAGCTACAAAGACCGGTCAGGTGAGATCTTATCTAGTATCTTATCAATCTAACTGCTAAAACTGAACCACCATCCTTAAAGATTTTCAGGTTCAATTTATCAGGGCCTGCTGCCCTACCGATCTTAAATAAGCTATAGCCTTTTTAATTTCATGAAGAGCCAGAAGACTTATGTTGATATCCCACTTATGTTGTGCTGTAACAGACAGTGACTAGAAGGTAGATATAGACTCGTTAGACTGTTCGTCAGTCTTTCGCCTATCGCATTAACTGTCTGAGCTGAGATCGGATCATGGTCTCAACTTTTACAGACATGATCTCACTAACAATCACCCGCTATAATTACCTTTGAGCATTTTAGCTTTTTTAAGGAGATTGGAAAGCTTTCTATAACACCTTTTTCATCCAAACTAGAGTCAGTAGAAGCATATACAGCGACTACGACACAAGCATTGTTTCTAAACCATTGTCCTCCAATGTTTAATATTTCTCATTATCGTTAATAATAATATTTCAACTCATTTGCTATTCATCTCATTAATTTCATCTAGTTGTCCCGAAATGATATGTCAACTCGGGCTGACGCACACTTACGCCGAACTCTACCTCAATGATGACTGAAAAACCTTCCTAATAACCACTAGGTTGAAAGTTTTCTTTCCGTTAAAATTGTTTCGGTTGAGGTAGACGAATAGTATCAGTAGTTCCTAAACAACTAAAATTTGTCACAAACTCGAGCACATAAATACGTGTATTTGATAAATAAATCACATTAATAAAAGGTGAGTAATTGAAAAAAACCCAGAAAGAATGATACTATGGTAAGAGAAAAAACAACAAGTGATTTCCTCAGCTATACTTTTTTCCTTGTTTATTTATTTTTGATTTGACTACTACAGCAATGAGAATGGTTTCCAATTCTACTTTCATAAATAATGGTTAACATTATCATCATCCCCATCATCATTATAATTAGTTCAGAAGAGGAATGAGAAGTAGGATAATCGTCGAATAAGAAAAAGTTGAACTCAATCTCAAAGGATACTCAAACAATACTGTATAAACTTACGATATATTTTATAACTTTGTCATTACTAAACTAGACAAAACTACCTTCAAACTACAATGAATTACTTATATTTATTTGTAAAAAGTAAAACATTATTCGTATACTCCATAATATTGTTATTAGTTTATATTAAGTTTATTTTATAAATTACTTTTATGATAGAAAGTCTTCTTCGCATACAATACCAAATTGATTCTTCCGTTGTTGTTCCGTACGACAAGTGATTGTGTGTAAAATACTTTTTTTTCATGAAATAACATATTTTATGGAAAAATCCTTAACAAACAGACAAAAAAAATGAACTGAGAGGTGACATTTGTTGAATATGTTTTAGTTCTCAACGATTCTTTAATTCATGATAAAAATTCTAGTTATAAGAATCAAAATAATACAGATACATATGAACAGTGTGATTACTCAATCATTTACATTATTTATTATTTATTTTAACACATAGATATTGGTACAAGGGAGGCACCAAATACATATGCGCCACACAGATCTCATTTGATATGTGTGAGGGCTGTGATACTGCCCGGGTGCCCAAACCGAAGCATATGATCTTCTTAGAGGGCCACACCCGGAGCCTTTGACCCAAAATTCTGATCCACAAGGCAGTGGAGAGTCGTAAGGAGATGCAGTCCTATGGTAGCCGGTGACCAGCGATTGGTTCCTACGCCATTTCTTCGTTCACGATACTCGAACCCATGTGCACCATTGGTTTGAAATCATGGTTTTGCAACTCTCCTAGGTGGACTCTCCATGTCCATAAACGGGTTAAAACACCGGACATTCGCTTTTCGTCTTCTCAATTTCATAGACAACACCCCTACCATGAGAAGGCAGTGAGTAGGACTTCCTTGGCAGAGACTATATGCGTGGCCATGTGAGGGAATTTCCAGAGGGAGAGAGAACTCTCCCCACTCTCGGCCATACCAGGGCGTTTGAAGGCATTTACATAATGAGTTTTCTATAATAATATTGTTTATAATTAGAGAAGGAGAACAAGATACAGTTTGGATTATTGTTGAAACATACCTTACAATCAAATCTATATGGTGTTAAACATGCACAGTAAAACGTAATACAATAATTAATAAATGATATGAGTTCATAACGTGATTTACTGATTTCAATAAAATATATACTACTAATCTGAGTTTACTTTAAACAAAACATTTCTCGAACAGCATCATTTTACAGTGACATTATCATAATACGGCAGAGAATAATCAATTTATCAGTATAGGAATTTGCAGAGATTGTAGTATTTTTACAATTAAATTCGCAAATTGATCTAAGCTAGACTATCAGTGAAAACATGAGAGCACTAGACAGCCGTTTTGCCCTAGTATGGACTCCTCAATGGTCTAGATGTTAAGCGTCCGCATGCGAGACCGAAGGTCCTAGGTTCGAGTCCCACGTATGGGATCGCGGATGCGCACTGCTGGGAAGTCCCATACTAGGACGAAACGACCGTTCAGTGCTTACCGGTTTTCAATGATGGTCTAGCCTAGATCGACCCATGAATTCAACTGTGAAAATAAATATTTTCGTTGAACTAAGCCTAGAGAAAAGATAGATGATCTTAATAAGTTAATGTAAGTAGTAGCTGTTTCTAATCAGAATGCAAGAATTAACTAAAGAAAACTTAATTCTATGTTTTGAACAGCAACAATCATTATTTCTTAAATAGCTAAGAGGTAAAACTGTCATTTTAGAAATCCATTTACTGTTTTCTTGGACTGTCTTATTAATAAACCAACATTATAAAGTTAATATATAAATAGCTATATGAAACCTCGGGACATCGAACTTTATAATTAATTAGAGCTACAACATACTGATTACATTTTGAACAGTGATTAGCATATTCCAACTTATCAGATAGATGTACCTGCATTCCAATGTTAATGTCCACAGAGACATTGGGTTCAGAAAAAATGAAAAACTGAAAATGATACTACGTGCATAAATTACACCAAGGTAATTCAATATTAGCCAGAATAGTATATTGAGATAGATGACGACTGGGTAACATATAATTAAACTACATCAGTCAATGAAAATTCATAAAGTCATCAAACAATATTAAACACTCGATAGTTCAATTTACACTTAAGCAATATTTCAAATAAATACAAATTAAGCATGATACTTTACAAACTATGCTTCATATTTATAAAGTAATGGATATTTAGTCAGATAAATTAAGTAATCACAGCTATAATAGTATATTTTCAAGGATCTTAGTTTAATGAAGGCATTCAAAAGCAAATACAACCACTGAAAGTGAAAAGTAAATATATACCAGTTTATTAGCAAAGGGTCCAAATATGTATAAAATTCAGTTGACGACGGATGAACGTTAAGAGGATACATCAATACGGACAACATTAACGTGAAAAATTTGATTTTCTACAGTTTGACTGAATTCTGTCTATGGCCAAGTGTGAAATATTTCCATCTTGGTAGGTTTGTTTAGCAAAAAAACACGTCAATGTTGGAATTTAACTTAAATCTTGTGTACTGAATGATTAACAAATTACGGTCTGAGGTTGGTTGACATTTCAACTACAATACCACATAAAACGGACATGTGGAAAATACAACCATTTGTATCTAACCGTATGACATTCTACAGACATACATTGTCTATTTTTGATGCATACGAACAATGGGAAAGTATGTCTTTGTTTTAAGCATTATGCACCGTAAGGAATCATCATAAAGCAAGATTTGTAGATTCGTATGGCGACTCAGGAAAATTATATTCTACCTTGTAAAAGTATTTTACGCAGACACACTACTTTTTTTTCAATCCTATCAGTAACCCGACTTTATTGATTAGTATGCTAAAATTACCAGAAAAAATGACAAGTGTGCTGGAGTTTCCTATTAAGTTGTCGAAAATCAAATAATAGGTTAAGTAGGCGATTACAAAACCACTGACCATGTGGACATTTAATACTTTTTCAGAACATCCAAATGATCCCATTTAATAAACATTAAATGTTAGGTTTGCAACGTATTATTTCAGTCATAAAATCATTATTCATAAACTCCATACAAAACCTTGAACTACGTCTAACGCAACATCAATCGTATGAAGACTGATGACTCGATAAGACGCGAACACATGACCCAATGGATTTCGGGAGTACTAGTGTTACTATGTATCTCAAAGTAGACCGATAGGATGCTGAAAATATAACTAGGTTCCTCCTTATACATACTGAGAAACTTCCCAGTTAGTACATGTAACATTATAATCTCATGCAAAACTTCGTAAAAGCATACAGGTTTTGAGCATTTACATGGACTGAGCTAGTGTGCAATTTGAAAACTAGGAAGTAAAAAATTTATATATGGGTACGTGCGTTAGAAACTGAATAACAATAACTATGCAGGTGTGTATAACCAGTTATGAGGCATTTACCACGTGAATGATAGAGCCGTTACTTGAACGTACGAATTAATCTCGGTCGGATTTTATAAACTGGCCGCGGTGAAATATCCATTTCTCAGCTAAAGGACGAATATACAACGCAGCAGTTTGTTTTAATTATTGTCATACAACTCGGCCCTTAAACAGATATTTTTAGGTCACTAGTATTCAGTTAAAGATGCCTTCGGACCGTTACTCGTATATATTGGCATCATCGAGTTAGAACTTCTGACGCTCGACAAAGAGCGCCAGGTAAAAATGATAGATCGATTGGTGAGGTAACTTTTATCGACTGAGATGGTATTACGAATGTCCATTCCCCAGCTAACTCGGTGCGTGACGACAGAAGCTAGGGGCAGTCACACCAAGATATGGCATCAACCCACGAAGAAACTGACTGTACAAGAACCATGTAGGTAGTTGCAGACGTGGTTGAGGTCTGTTTAATCATTGTAACCAATGCTTAAACGTTGGGTAACGGCTGAAAACCGTTCTCAAAAGCGTAGATCCGACGTTGATAAATTACCTGATAATCGTTTTATCTCACCAACCCATGCTTTCTTAACGAATAGTATCTTCTATGACTAATCTTTCCTATTACCACTCATACTGTTACTATGTCTGCTACCCTGGGATTTGCCTTGACAATTTCATTTCACTGTGCCTATTGGGTATCACAAATAAAACCGATAAACACATGAGCCGAATTTTACGTTGCATGTGACTGGCTGCTTGACATGAGTGTTCACACTGACACAAATGAAGAGTTTTTAACTCGAGATCATAAATAGTTTAAACACCGAATAAAAGTTGATGAAACAGTATTGTCCTTAACATAACTTTAAAGTGATGTCCCCTAAAATCGTCCAACTACAGGTTTCGAGAATAAGTAGAAATGTTCATGCAGTCGTAAGAATAGTTCGCAGCTTTATAAACTGTAGGTGTTATGCCTAAACCAAACTTACATTTATCTTGAAAATATTTATGCTAATGAATTCACACATAAAAACAATCCTATCCGCATAAACGTAATAAAGGAAAATCATCATTATAGCTATATATATAAAAAACAAAATAAAATTGAACAAAAAGAACAAGAACAGAGAACTCGATTAAAATGCAACAGTAGTATTAATAATAGTTGTATACTTAAATTGGAGATGATTTTCTCTTTACATAATAACACATACTCTCCAATAAACAAACAAAACAAATGGGCACATCCATTTAACAACATATAACACACATACATAAGAATATAGGGACAGACACATACAGAATATGTAAACGTTCATCTGAAGAAAACAGAACGAACAATTTCATAGAGATGAAATTAAAAAATAACTTCGTCTACATAGTTTTGATCATATTTCAATGGAGAATAAGAAATAATATAAAGTAGGAATAAAAATCAACACAAAATGATAATATTTACATGAAGTTTTGATTCACATACTTTGTTGTAACACTGCATGCATTTATGTATCTGGATATTAAAGATATATTGTAACCTGGTATATATAAGGTATCATAAGTAAAGTGAGAACAGTAAGCAGTTTATTAGCTGTTTTTCATAAAATAAATTAAACTTAATGATCAGTGATAGCAACTATAATAAGAAAATGCATTGAGCCACAGGTATACGCATATATATATATATATATATATATATATATATGCTTTATTAGTTAGAATGAATTAATTACCAGAATGATCTAGAG